TTTGTTCGTTTTTCTTTGTTTGTTTGTTCGTTTTGTTGTTCTTTTAGTTTCGTTTCGTTTTATTTTGCTTCGTGTTTTTGCTTTAGTTTGTTTATCTTTCTTAGTTTGTTTGTTCGTTTTGATTATTTGATTTGTTTCTTATCTATATATCATTTTTATTAGCGTGATGTTTTTCGAACGGCTGCGGAAAGTTCGTTATTAATTTTGCTGGTTTCAACATATTCGCAATGTAAGTGATTACAATTAAGAAGTAATTTAACAGTGAACACGAAAGTCATCCCTTGACCCAATCGATTTGAAATAAGAATTAATTTGATCACTCGGTGACTACATATTTGACCTTGCTACTTCATTTTAGAGGCCTTTTTAAACAGTAGAAAATTCAGAAAGTAATAGTCTAAAAAAGAAAAAAAATGAGTTTTCACGATTCGAGTTCCCCGAATTGCTCTATAATGATGTCACATCAAAAAAAGTATTGTTTTAACGCTAGAGGTCATGGTCGCTGGAGGGGAGATGGAATGACAACAACACATCTTAAATCACAATGAAATTTGGTTTATGTGCTGGTGAAGGCAAGAACAACTAAATATTACGCTAAATATCTCGAAAGAAGAAAATGAAGCTTAAATTTCTATCATTTTAGCCGATGTAAACAAACCGCAACGTCTGTAATGAAATAGGGCAATTGTTGAAAGCCATGGCCAAGATGTCTAGAAATCATCACAATATCAGTTTCATGCATTATTTTCAATGATTTTCCCCCTCTCTCTCTCTTAAAAAATACAGGAAAAGCTAGTGATGTCTTTATGTTGATGGGTTGCAAGCATTCCCAAGAGAGTTAAAAGACAATAACATTGGCGGCCATTGTGGTACCGTTAACAATGGATGCTAATGAGAAATCTTTTGTTAAATGGTACCAACATGGCCGCGATGACGTAACGTGCAAACGAAGAATTAATATGCGATAAACAGCGCGTTGATCCTACACACCCTAAAGGGCAATACAAATGGCTGGTAAGATGCCACTCAAAAGGAGATTGCGTCTCTGGATAAAGAAGTTGTTAGTCTTATTCTCCTATTAAGTAATACTCTTTGCAATAGCACAGCGCAACCGTGACGTCATAAAAACGAAGCCAAAGGCGAAATTCGGACAAACAAACTTACAAGTTTACTTTCAGCAGATAATTTTCACAGCCGATCGCAGTTGATCTTAGTTTACATGGGTTATTATTCTAACTTTAAGTAAAAATAACAAAATCGGTTCGTATAATCCTCGTAGCGGTTAAACAGAGTGCAATGTTTGTCCGAAGCTATTTTTAGTATCAGTGCGCTGCGCTATTCTTAACGATCAAATCTGGTACACACTTGAGGGATAGATATTTAACAACATAACACAACCTAACAACCTTACCTATAACGATATAAAACTAAATTAATGTCTCAATGTCATAATAATGTTATGTATTTATATCTAGCATCGACTTTGCCCCAAAACATGTCATACTTTCTAACGGATCGTCTTATGACGTCCATAATCACAACCTAATAGCTGTCGTGGGCAGCGCATTATATCTTAATCACTGACTGATCGCCCTGGAATTAGTTYAAATGTACAAGCGATGACCAGCAAAAAGTGATCAACGTCGAGAATGAATTAATTTTAATGAAACAAGATGTAATCTTTGTTTGAAGAGTGATAAGCACTTTGGAGTTTAATTATAAACTGAACATTAAAGATCTGTCTTAATACTTAGCTGCAAATCAATAAAATGTCTAGATGTAGTTAGCTGTTGATTTTTGAAAACCCATCTTTTCCTTTGTTCTTTTGTTCTTTTGTTCTTCGAAATCTACGAGTAAAAAAATCATATAAAAAAAGACAGTAAGTTCTTTCAAGTACAGAGATAAGAGATAGTGCCATTAAGACATCGACTAATTAGTTTTTTATTTTAATTTCTTTTTCGTAGATAATTCAAAATCTTTTGACCAAGGCAGTACCGACTTGCACCTGTACGTTTGCTTGAACATCGTTAGATTGACCTGCAATGATAAATACCCCAGGAGTTTAATTTTTTTTACCACACTACCTCCAAGGCTGAAAAGAAACACATTGAAGTCGACAGCACATAGCTGAAGGTAAGTCGTATTAAGTTTGGTATAACATGTGATTATGAATGTCCCTAAATTTATGGCAACCCTTATTTTGTGATGAAAAATAAAAGGAATGGCTTCTTCTTGTTCTTCCTCTTTTTTTGGACACCGGGAGATGTTTAGTATTAGAGAGTTTTAGATTTACGTTCACGGCAAACGTGAAACGTCAGTTGACCAGTAAAAAATTCTTTTAAATGACTGAAAAAGAATCGCAAAAAAGTCCAAGTAGTAGAAAAACGAAAGAGTATTTGCGTTTGGTGAGAAGGTTTGTAAAAGGTAAAGTAAAATACAGGGAAACTATGAAAACGTGGTCACGTTTGCCGTTTGCGGGGAGAAAAAAAAGTCAATCTAAAACTCTCTATTAACTACTTTATACTGGACAGATTAGATTACAATGAAAGAAAACAGAAGGAGCAAAGATAATATAAACTAGCAGCTAGAATTAGGAAGACATGAAAACAGATTGGTCGAGAGAATGAGATTGAAATCTCACTGAGAGAAATTGAGAAATTAAAAGAAAGAAAAGTGAGTTAAAAAAGGAGTTAAAAGAAAAAAGAAAAGAAAAGAAGAAATGTAGTCTCTAGAAAAACAAGTAAGGAATCAGAAAGAGAACAAGATAAGAAAAGGAAAGGAAAGGAAAAAAACGGAGAAGATAACCAAAATACTTGATAACCAATATTGATCGCTTTTTTTTTTTTTCTTTTTTTTTTTTTTAGAAAAACAAAAGGGGATTATGGCACCTAGTCTAAGGGTATTCCGGTGGTTGTTCGTCATTTCATGTTTTATCTGTCTGGGAATTAGAGCAACTGATCAGGTAATTTCTATTATTAACGCCTCTGGTTACTATGCGCTATGAAGTGCTTTACTCAACCTATGCATTGCAATAATCACGCCCTCTACCAAAAAATCTGCATTTTAATGTAAGCACGTTATCAACAAGGATTTTGGTTTTAAAGAAAAAACAAAATCTACTCGCCTATTTTTTTTTTTTTTTTTTTTAGAACATTGCAATAATCACGCCCTCTACCAAAAAATCTGCATTTTAATGTAAGCACGTTATCAACAAGGATTTTGGTTTTAAAGAAAAAACAAAATCTACTCGCCTATTTTTTTTTTTTTTTTTTGTAGAACATGTTGTCAGTCAAAGATGAAAACGGAAATACGGGTGAGTCAAATTGCATGGTAAATGATGGTAATTGAACTGAGTGGAGTGCAATTTGGACCAAAATCATACGAGTGATTACAAAATTGCACGATCGCATAGCGGGAGTGCAATTTGTTAATCACAAGTATGAATTTGGTCCAAAATTGCACGACACGAAGTTCGATTACCACTTAATCATATCCTTTTTGTAATCATACACAAGAAAAAGACACAATTAAGAGTGCAGAATTATCAATTTAATGTAGAAGAAGAAGAAAATCAATTAGGTTTTTCCTGGTATAAAATAAACGATTTATCAGCAAATCATTAAATATTCATGAATAATGCTAATCATTCTCTTCTCTGATTGGCTAAATATAAGAATTCTGTTTTGTGATTGGTTCTTCCAAAAAAGCTGCGATTAAGAGCTCAAAAGGATACGATTAAGAGCTCCTAAGGATGCGATTTGGGAATTAATTGCACTCCTTTGAACCAATCAGATTGCAGGATTTGGTAGTGATTACAAAAAGGATATGATTAACGAAGTAACTGTATAGTATGTTGTCATTTTCTGTAGAGCCAAATCTCGATCAAAAATGCAATGGATGGCTAGTTAGCTACAGGGAGCCCAATTTAGATAAAAATGAAAGCTGCCCATAAAGTCGTGAAAAATCGCCTTCATTTAATTAAGAACCATAGGAGATGGGATCAGTATATAGAAAAACAAAGACCCGCGAAGAGAGAAATACTTGTTGCCTCAGTGTTTGGAAGAGCGTACTATCTTTAAAAATCTACGCAATCTTACATTTATCATGTCTGAACGCGAAAGACTCAAAGATACAATCTTAATCAGTCGATTTTTTCCGGATTTGGGAATTTATTGTAAAAAGATGTAGCCGTATGATAAAGATATAGAGGATATTACATGGGCTCGCGGAGATACGAAATTTACCTTCGAGGGTCGAAATGAGCGCAGCGAACGAGTGAGAGATTTTCAACACGAGAAGATAAATTTCGTATCTCCGCGCGCCCATGTAATATTCTGTTTATGGATAATTATATGATACAAATGTATAATTAATGCCCTAAAATAAAGTGTCTTTTTTGCGGTCTCTCCTACACACTTTTTACGCTCATTATTAAAAGCTGTGCATGATGACTGAAAACCTTAGTCTAGCGAGCAAAAGTCACGCTTTTTCCGTCAATTCACTTCACTTCATTTTATTTATAGAAAAATTAAATACTTCCATTCCGCACTAAACGGCATAAATGACCAGGTTTTTCATCGTTCCCTTTGATTTCCGTTTATTCAACTTTTGAAAACCTTCTCACCAAAGACAAATATTCTTTTATTTTAATTAGAGGTATTTGCGTTTGCAAACGAGATACTCATAAGCCGAAACTTATAAGCCGTTCTTGTTTTGAATTCAAGTGAACGTAAAATACGAAGCCATTGGATGTTATAGTGACAAAATCAATGAAGCCCGTTCTCTTCGTGAATTGTACTTCAACGCTAGAAGTCTTATCAAGTGGTCATCTGAACCCGACTTTACGAACATCATACGAGCATGTGTAGAACATGCGTACAGTAAAGGCCACAAAACTATCTTCGGTATTCAGTATTATGGCGAGTGCTGGAGCGATGAGTCTGCAGAAGCGCGATACAGCAAGTACGGTGTATCCTCGAACTGTGCCTACGGAGTAGGGAAAGACTTGGCTAACATGGTCTATCGTATGTCAGGTATTAAGGTTTATTAAAAGAACAAAAAGACAAAGCCGCCACACGCGAAATAAGATTTCCTAAGTCCGATGATTTCGAACCTCCTTCGTAACAATTTTGGATCTGCGCATGCTCTGTGATGCGGCATATAATTAATGAGGCGGAGATATTCTTGGTCTATTTAATATTATTGACGAAAAGCTAAAAAATAGTTCAAGTATCTAGTCTATTCACATATTATATATAGAATTCTACTGGTAGTAACTATAATAAACCTTTTCATAGTTTAAGAATCGATTCCACTGCGCATGCGATTTTATCCCGAATTTCTCACCTTCTTTTGTCTAAGACCCCGTTCACACAAATCCGGAAATTTTTGTATCCGCATTTTTATTTTTTTATTTTTTTATTTTTTTATTTTTTTATTTTTTGCGGACACGGGTTGCGTCCACACGTGTCCTCAAATTTTTGTGACCGTATCCGCAAATTCTACGAAAACGGACACGTGTGGACGGTGAAAACGATTCGAATACGCTGCGTGTGGACGCAAACATTTTCGTATCCGAAAAAAAAAATTGCGGATACAAAAATTTCCGGATACGTGTGGACGGGGCCTAAACCTTCTTTTGTTCTTAATTAAACAAAAGAAGGTGACAAATTCGGGATAAAATCGCATGCGCAGTGGAATTGATTCTTAAACTATGAAAAGGCTTATTACTAACAAGGAAAGATGCATGAAAAGAAAAATGCAAGAAAAATAATCTCAGATGCCATATTTTTTAATACTATAGACTCAATATTAAGACAATGGTCTCACAACAATGGTCTCAAACTATAGGGAACCGAATATAGTGATTTAGGTAGTGGGTGCCAGCAAACGCCGTCTCCACCTCATATACCTACTTGATATTGGTATCCGTAGCGACTATTTCTATGCACAGACAGACATCAGCACAAGATCAACGATTTCACTTCCAGAAGTGATAAATAAGGGGTAACTCCATCCCAGCCGTTATGACCTAACCTCTATTATGACCTTAGTCCCTATTCTTGATCTATTCATCAACTTCTTTTCAGTGATTCCCAAATCCCCGGTCGAAGGATGTAACATTAACGGTAAAGAGTACAGCGAAGGAGCTGCAATGATGATCCCCAACGACTGGAGCGATAACGTGTATGACTCTAAATGCATGAAGTGTATATGTTCTGGTGGTCAGGCTAAGGACTGTCAAGTACATAGTTACTGCGAAACAGGGAACGAGGGATTGTGTTCCAGATGGAGGAACGCTACTGGTCAATGCTGTCCTGTCTGTGGTGAGTAAGTATCACTAAAACTAACAATAGACCCTTTGCCGCATCGAGCAACAACTTGATAACGAAACATTTCAGTCCATGGTCCCTTGTTTTGCTGGTTGGAAGCATGCAAATATTTCAAGTCTTAAGATCGAAAGCTCTTGTCGCAAAAAGAAAGTAGAAGTTTGAAAACGTTTTTATTCATGGCAGTAAACCCCTCTTTTTTGCCAGTTAATATTAGTCAAGTGATTATATCCTGTAAATAGCTTATTCACGTTTCTTCAGTAGCGAAGGTTCAGTTATCTGTCAATGCCTACTCTACGGGAGCTAGAAGTACTGATTCATCGTTCAAAAATCGTAAGATCATGCGAAAAAACGGTCCTCAATATTTGTATTATTGCATTAAAATGATTCCTAGTACATTTTTGTTCATTTTGGTTTTTTTTTTTTTCTTCCACAATTCTCTAGATTTCTTGCTCAAAAGGTTTCGAGCCCGCACGCATTTTAACTTGAATCAGTGGTAATTAATGCGCATGCTCAACACGAATTTTAATTACTGCGCATGCTCAAACCGCTATGTGTTTGCAGTTGGGTCGCCAACCAGAATTTTGGACATATTTGAGTAGTTGATTGGTAAAATAAATTAACGTCATTATTAGATACCCCGTTGTTATTACTGTCAGCGGTGCTTTGCTTCAAAGTATCAGATAGCGTTTAGAAAATGAGTTTTGTTACAATAGCTGTGAATCACAATTGATAATCCTTTTTTCTTCCAGACTGTTACCACGATGGCAAAGTCATGGAAGCTGGCAGCACGTGGGCGGTACGTCAAGGATCATCTTGTTCAGAGTGCACATGTGGTGATAATAAAATCGCTAAGTGTACCATCAAATTTTCATGCATTTGCTCTGATGGATACGATGCGATACCAGTTCCTGGAAAATGCTGTCCTAAATGTGGTAAGTTTTATCAGTACCTGGAAGATATTGCCATAAATGCGGTAAGTTATATCAGTTCATGGAAAACGCTGTCCTAAATATGGTAAGTTATATCCGTAGCGGGAAAAAGTTGTGCTAAATGTAGAAAGTCATATCAGTAACTCTCCGTTTCATTATATTTCAGTACCAAAAGTAACTACAACAGCACCAACACCAACTCCCGAAATACTCGTAGAGACGACAAAAAGACCACCACCAACATTCCCTCCTCCCCCCGATATGGAGTAATTTTGTCACACTTTTTGAGCTCAGTACTGATCTGCTTAAGAATCCTAGTCAACTACAATGCATTGCTCGCAGGAAGCAAGGCAATCGGTCATTTTCTCTGCTGGATGGAAAAACATCCAGTTCCATAGGTCTTTGTTATTCAAGCTAGAAGTTTTAAAACTTTTAAGTCATTTTGTTAGTAGTTACTTTTATGTTCTTCATGAGATTTTATAATTTATTGTTGGCAATGTATGTAAACAAGGAAGGTGCGTACGTAGTCGACTTGTGTTCTTTAAAAAATAAAAATAGCAATGGTCTTGGTAAATCAATAAAGACGTCGTGGTAAGTGCATCAATAGTAAGCAGTGTGTGAAAACAAAATCCTACGAAAATAAACAGAGGTAGTTATCTTTAAATATATCCGTCTTTCGTGATTTTAAAATTAGCTGTATATCAGTCTTCTTTACTATATATATATATATATATACACACACACACTTGATTGCAGAAAGGTTGTAGTATACATTTATACAAATACCTAATTTATTCAGTATATTTAATGATATGCAAAACAGAAAGCTCGCTTTATCTATTATTTGTTTCATTCAATAAACGTCAAAATATTTTATTCTTGTGTTTTACATCCTACAGATCATAAATCAATTGGTTTTGAGGGTTAAAAAAGTAAAATTGCGATATGCATCTCATTAGGTATTTGTATAAATGTATAAATGTATACTACAACATTTCTGCAATCGAGTGTATATATATATATATATATATACTACATTGCATTCTACACTTCTAATTTATCAATGCCATGACGACTTTGAGATTTTATTAAAACAAGGCAAACACGATTTTTAACAAACTCTTAAAAAACTTCGGGCTTCTCAATGAAACACAGGTTCTAATGACTAAATGAAAGATCGAATTTAGATTTGAGCGTGTTGCGTTGCATTGGGTTTTGCAGAGATATAGGTCTGTAGGTAGAAAAAAACGACTATCGAATCAAGGGCCACCGAGAACCAACGGAACCCTGCTAGTCACGTTTAATAGTGAATTGTAAAAAGGAAAGGTTTCGTGTACGTTTACGTGAAGTCTCCGATGATGTTGCTACTGAAAACTAAGTTCCCCGCCAGGAGAAACTAGAAAACCATAAATATAGCAGTTGTAGTTAGTTCATCCTTGGCTTAAATTTGGTCAGTAAAGCCAGACTAAGCCGGTACGATACTTTATTCCAGCTACTCAACCGGACAAAATCCAATCATGGGAAACTTGCTAATCTTCAGAAAGTTTTCCGCTTGCCATTTTTCTTTTGCGTGTTTTTTTTTTTTTCTTCAAAATATAGTTTCTTGATGAGAGTCAGAAAGTGCAAAAGGATATTCGCAGGCCAAGCATGTGCAGTTTTATTTTGCGCAGTCCACTTGAAAATACATAAAAAACCTGTCCGCATTCTTATTTAAAGGAAAGATCTTTCGTTGACTAACGTGGAGAATAGGGGGGAGGGGATTTATTTGGCCATAATATCTCGTGTCGTAAGTAAAAAGGTGTAATTAAATTCCTTTTTGATCTACAGGTTCCGTTGTCAGTATACTTTGGGTCAAATGGCATATATAAACTGGATAGTGTATGGCATGGCACTTCAATCAAAATAATGTCATTCTCCCCCCCCCCCCCCCCCCCCCCAAAACATAAAAAACTATCTATCTGCTAAATAGCAATAATCAATTCAGTTCTCGTGTCAAAACAAAAACTGATCGATGACTTATACTTATAAACATTAAGATTTGTTTCCGATTGTTGTTATCTGTAAGACTTCTCACCTGCCTCGGACATTTGCTCTATCATTTATTTTTTGGTTGTTAAAACCCGCCATTTAGAGGTCATAGGAAGAAAAAAGTCTGCCACAGTCGCTAAGCTTGTAATATTATCTATAAAAATATCGATATAGAAAACTGAGGTCTGACTAGTGACACAGAAGAATCGAAGGAAGGACCCTAACGAAAGACCTAAGAAACAAGGTATTCACCTTACAAAGAAAACGTCGATTATCAACAAATCAAATGTTGATCATACTTCATATTCAAACGATTTTAACAAAACGATTTGAACATTGAAAATAATTTTTATTTTGCAATGAATGTTCCTGTATCTGGTGAAAACGCGTGTGATGAAAATCCGTTTTGAAGCTGCGCATAGATTGGGTAAAGTGTCTTGGTAGCGCAACTGCTCTCGTCATTGCCTGATTGCCAATGCACGTGTGAATCTTTCCTGGAAGCAATTCTAATCTTAGAAATCAATATACATATGTTTTGAGGCTACGTCCACACTAATGTGTTTTCGTTTGAAAACGCATACTTTTTCATGCGTTTTGGCCTTGTGTCTACTCTAAAAGGACAGGAAACGCATGTTGCTTTGAAAACGATTTCCAGGATGGAGATATTTGAAAATGTAGGCTTACAATAAGCTTTGAAAACGCGGGCGTCATTCACACCGACACGCTTTTGTTTTCATATGCACAAATGATGATATTGCGTTATTGTCGATTGTATCTGCTTTTTTGATCGTCTTAGAATGGGCAGGCCAAAACGCTATGAAAACGTTAGTGCATGGACGGGAAGATATAGATTCGATGAGTTTTCGGTGCGAAAACGATAACGGAGCGTTTCGAAAAAACATTAATGACCCATTAATGTGGACGTAGCCTACGAACTGGCTCCCTTCAGTCAATGGTATTATTTCACGATTTTCAAATTTACGAAAGTATTAGTCATGTAAAAGCCACTGAAAACCAGAAATGTGCTGATCAACTCGGGTCTTAAACAAACGTGTGTCTCAAGTAAATCTACATTATTATCTCAATGTAGACAACATAATGACAAATAGATTTCTGAAGGTTTCTATTCGAACGAGAGCACTGCAAAGGCCGGATATAAACTAGCCAGAACGTATATTGTTAGATTTGCATTGATTGACACCTGTATATGACCCTTGCATGATAAAACACGAATACACCACATATATATTACTCATCTTTCGCTGCACATTGTGTTAGATCTGAATATCTGAAGATCTGAAAGTTATCTTTGTCCTAGGTTTGTTTATATAAGTGCTCTATAGCTTTTGTTTCACTCGTTTCAGCCTAAGTATTTTCGTAATTGTTAGTCTAGTCCCTTAGGAGTTTTTGTACGCCTTATATAAGCCCTCTATGCAAATACTTAGTTAGTTGGTGCTCGCAGTTCTCTCCCTTTTATACACAAATGTAAGTTATTCCTTTTCCTTATTTCTTATCATTTTTTGCATTTTAATGTTTCGTAGCTTTTCTTATTCGTTATATCGTATTTACTAAGTTATTTATCTATTTGTAGTCTTTACCTTACGCTATGCGTACGAGTTTAGAATAAAACAATCAAGTATGGGACATGTAGTACCAACACATTGAATACTGCCCGCAATCTCTCTTTATAGGACCTTACAATGGCAAAATTACAATTAAATCACAGAAAAGTTTTTAATCAAATAAGACTACTGAAAATATCGGATAGAATCTGCACACTCAATGCTAAATATCTCTTTAACATAGCTTGTTTTCTTAATCTTATACTCATTCATGCTAGATTTCTAATTACCTTAGAATGGAAAGATCGTAATGATACCGCAAAAAAACGTTTTTCTAAATAAGATCACTGGAAATATCGGATATAAATTAAACATTGAATACTACATAGAGGATTTTACATGGGTGCGCGGAGATACGAAATTTATCTTCGAGTGTCGAAAAGATCTCTCACAAGTGAGCGCAGCGAACGAGTGAGAGATTTTCAACACGAGAAAATAAATTTCGTATCTCCAAGCGCCCATATAATATTCTGTTTATTATATAATTATCAATGAAGTATGTTTTGGCTTTTTCAAACAATTCTTTCCGTGTATATTTGAATAGCCATCGCAATGGTGTTATCTTCACACGTGAAAATAACATGTTATTTTCACGTGTGAAAATAACAATTTTTCGAAATAGAGAAAAATAGATATTTCATTGGTAATTATATAATAAATATACATATCTCTAAAGTTAACTTAGTTTTCTTTCATCTTATACTCATTGATAGTTTCCTAAGGACCTTATAATGGCAGGATATAATTTTTTTTGATAGGTTGTCGTTTGATCGTCCTACTGAATCTTTCCGCTGCGCGTATACCATCCGGCATTTCCTCGAGTTTTCTTGACAACGAAGTTCCTATCATGTTGTCAGAAAAAGGACAGCTTTTTTTTTAGAATGGTTCACATACAACACTTTATGATCGTTATGATCGTTTAATATTGCTAAACTAAATTAAAATGGAAATCTTTGCTAGAAATGGCCGATAAACAGGTAACTAAAGTCAAATACTCCATTGTCGCTTGCCTTCAAGTGCACCTAACCCCTGACACGATACTTTCAGTATTGATGATTCTACATAAAGTGAATAGTTGAATGGTGAAATATTTCTTTATTTGAATGTTGCGTCTTTAAGTTTTGAAGGTATATACCTCCATTATGTTGGCTCATTTAAACGTATTTGTTTTAATTTCTTTATACTAAACACTAGTCATTATGAGTAATCAAATTTACAATAAACATTGTGGAATCTTGAGTATAATGATGATGATTCTAAATACTGTTTGTGTAAACCAGTCAAATTTGTATTTTTAATGAAGCCTGTGGTGACGCAACAGTCATTTACATATTGGAAGTGTATAAACCTTCATAAAATTTTTTGAAGAAATCTTGTACATACTCTTTATTGAAGCTCTATTGCAATAGCCTTCCCATTAATTGAGCATGTTTACACGTCTTTTATTGCCTTGCGTGTGTGTAAAGCGCCTCATTTTCAATATTTCAAGGTTGCAGTGATGAACATATATCACTAAACACTAGGGGGTCGTTTTGGTGAACACTAGAAAAACCTTTATTTTATTGATATTGGCTCAATATTTTGGTTCATTCATGATGTTTTTTCCATTTTTTAAGCTTTAAATTTAACTTATTTATGCCAGTAAAAGCATAGATTATCATCATCACAGTTATCGTTATCGTCATCATCATCACAACCATATCACCATCACCACCATCACCATCATCTATATCATCATCATCATCAAACTAAGACATCCTCTTGGCTACTGAGTTTATTAGCCTCATTAATTCGTTCATTCCCCTTGGTAGGCTGGAGCTTTTCAAGTCCAGTCTGGCAAGTGTGAGCATTCAAGACCTTTTTTCTTTACCAACCAATTGATTGTTTAATCTTATGATTTAAGGATGAAAATATTCCACTTGGTTTTGGTGGTATTTTGTGTCATTCTTCCACTGAGTGTTCGGAGCACTGACGAGGTAAGGCACATTCCAAACGTCGCTATTCTCAAAAGTCAAGCAAACGGCACAGTTTAGCTCAACTTTTTTTTAAGCGAAGATTGAATAAGAAGAAATTTTCATTTTACAGACGATTGTGTCATCTAAAGATGAAAAAGGCAACAAAGGTAAGCGACCTTTTATTCACAGCAAGAGTATGAAATAATTCGTACAATCTTGATGACAGTAATCATGGTGAACGGAGCTTAGGCGTAAAAGCAATGCCCAATGCATTTCAATTCAGACCACGTGTCTCTTCCTCAAGTAGACCTTTACGCTTGCATTGGACGCAGTGTTTTCCATTTCAGAACACCTTTCATTCCCTAAGGTATTATTTCTTTGTTTAACGGTTGCACATGAGAAGAGCGTGAATATGGTACAACTCAAYACGAATCTAATTCCCAAGAGATTAACACGTGGTCTCTCAAATCTAAAAAAAAATCTTCGTAGCAAAAAAGGTCTATTCGGTATGCAGCAAACAATTTTTTTAACACCTTTTTTAACTTTTTTAAAAACCTTGGGCAATTATTCACATGTTTCTATCATTGCAAGCACCGTTCGTCTCGCTTTGATGCAAAGGCATGGCTACCTTTCAAAATGGCGCCGGGAACTGTGAAGGGGACTATTTTTACGAGAATTTGTATTAGACATGCGCAGCGTTCTAACGAAGTGACTGTATAATTGAAAATGAACAAGTCTATAATCTAGCGATAATTCTTAATTTTGTACATAATTTATCGGCTGAATGACTCTCATTGCCACCCAAGCCCTTGATCAGTGCAAGGCAAATAATGCATGCCATCTATGCTCAACAACCCACGCACGATTCTACTATGCAAACTTGCCATTTATCGGATGGTACAAATTGCACTTTTTTGAGGCCATAAATCGTGTCTATTGATACCAACGTATCTTTATCTCAAAAGTGTACATAACGTTTGAAGCTGTTGGCTGCTTTGTTGATAAAGAACGCCGCGCCCTACGCAATATGTACTACGACGGGCGTGCGCTGATCAAGTGGACCGACCGTTTTGATGCAACAGATGTCATCAAAAGGTGCGCAGAGAACGCCTACCGGCAAGCCTTCCCTGGTATGTTCGGTGTTCAGTATTATGGTGAGTGCTGGAGCGATGGGTCCGCAGAGGAGCGCTACAACATGTACGGTGTGTCAACGAACTGCGAGCACGGATTAGGAAAAGACTGGGCGAATATGGTCTATCGTTATAAAGGTAATGTGCCTATCAATGTATCGTAAAACAACGAGACTTGTTAATCTCAATTAATAGTTTTAATTTTTTTTCATCAGTTGAAGCCCCGCTGTTGTTTTGTTTTAATTTCGCCTTATTTTGAATTTTGAATTCAGTAATCTTTTTCATCAGAGCAAGACGTAGCTGGTCTAACAGCTCTCTGGGTGAGGGGGAATGGAGAAGCAAGCGGAGGGGGAAGAAGAGTATATGGGAGGAGTACCCAATTAAGAAATATAGATGAAAATTCCTTTTGTTATCTTGACATTTATCGGAATTCTTAAGGCAATTGCGGTGATCTAAGTCAGGCAATGGCTGAGTCATAAGTCATAAAACGAATTGAAATTCATAGCTTGTTAGGTTTTTGGAGGGAGAAAAAAAGGGGAAAAAAGATAATAATAATAAATATTTATAATGCGCGATTTTAACATGCTTATAAGATAAAATGCACATAAAACACCGGATTTCAGAGAGAGAACTAACAAACTTTACTCACATGCATATGAAGCCAACTTCAGTAAGCGATTCTGAGACCCCAGAGATGAGAGACGCGTTCACTACCGCTCCCTTGATTCACTAAGGAAAAAGAAAAACAACTTTTATTTTGGAAAATATCATAAAGATAACGGTTTCATTCTGTTTGTTTTTCAGTCGTGACAGCTAAACCAGTGTCTAAATCATTGTAATATAAGGATTGAATTATAGAAGTCCCTGAGGATAAATCTTGTTTTGAAATGGTGTGCCTTAAGAAGAATTGAAAGAGTAGAAACTTGGATCTCTTATCACTAACACCTGTGTTCAGAGCCAGGCTTATAAACGATCATAGATAGAATGACCCCTAAGGCAACCGCTTGCGCTTTTGTTTGGATGTTTTAGAACGAGAACCGGGCTTATTGTTATTGTGTCAAGCAGGCTTTGCATCATGGAAAAGTGAAATAGCTAAGTTTCTCTTTAAAAAAGAAAAAAAAATTTAAAGTTTAATAAAATAAGTATCAGTAAAAAAAAMAAAACAATAAAAACAATAAATAAAATTTGAAAAAATAATACTACACGTCCAGTACGTCATACCACGCAACACACATGTTGGTTTTTACAGAGGGAGGATTGAAAACCCTAACTTGCCTCCTACGCAGCCCCTATTAGTGTAGTCACGCAACGCTCACTCTCTATTAGAAGTGCGCCCTGTGTTTATAGGGCACTACGACTACGGATCACC